TTTTTTTTCACCCGAGATAGTCAAAGTTGGGGAAGAAAATATCAAAAAGTTAAAAATCCAGAAATAGTCCTAATTTTATGATGGTTCCTTAATATATTTTAACTACATTGCATTTGAGTATGGAGAGGCAACTATCTGGAAGTATTTTATATAAAAAATTTACTAAGTATTGCCCGGTTTGTAGTTGCAATTAAAGAAAACACATGAAAAGGCACGATTTTTTTTTAGATTCGAAAAAAATGTAAATATTTCAAAAACGGTGACACTTTTACCTGAAAATTTTTTGTTTATCAGGGAGCTCACCACCCCAACTACCTTCCCCTAAAGTTTGGCACGTTACTTCTGGGACACCCTGTATATACTGATCAGAAAAAATAAGTATCCCGCAAAAATTCGTTTAAAAATGTATCCAATTCGATTTATTTAGATCCAAACGGCATCCCTGATTGTGAACAAACATCTGATATCTATGTAATGGCCAAGCAATAGGTTTAAGTTTAATCGTTCGCTTCCCCTCAACCCAAACAGACGTGATTCGAAATTTTAGCAAGTGAAAATTATTCCCCCGCTGGTATACCTATACAGTTATATAAATACATATAATAAATAAAGTGATTTGTGAAATAGTATAAATCAAATTAAAACTCTCTTTTTTTCATTTGAGTTATGAATACTGTTCTATATAACCGTTTTCCGTTTATAGTAACAGACTTGAAATCCTTGGCTACAGGCATCAGGCGACTGACTTCCATCAGATAAATAAAATTCTGTGACTTTTTTATGGCTTTAGAATCTAGAGTCCTATATTTTTTCTTTCCTCTTTCCTCTCCATAACCCTCGAATTCACGCAACTTTTTGGCAATGTTAACGGTGCGCCGCACAGTGTATTATTTCCATATTATATAAAAAGTTAATTCAATTATTTTATGTCGCTGAATTTCAAAACAACGTCCAAAATGTTTTTAGAAATGTCTTATAAAGACGAAACAATAACAACTACAAAATTTAGTTACCAAGCGCAATAATATTTAAACTTGTATATTTGAAACTGAATCTCAATGTTTAACTTGTCGGTGTTATGTGATTTATGCAACAATTGCTAATATACCATATTGGTCTTATTTTTTAGTTATGTTCTTTTTAATGAATATACATTTGTGGGATTTTAGTAAACTAGGACTGAGTATTTCATGTTGAAGTAAAACGATGTTAACTTAAATTTAATTTTTGCAATTTATTAATTTCATTACACCCGCAAACTCGTTATCCGCGATTATTCGATAAAGTTTGTATCTCACTTTATTTCCAACTTCTCTTAAATTAAACAACATAATTTTAGCTGCCGGAAAGTGCTGGTTATGATGCAATTTTATTTTTTCAGGCCTGCTCCGAAGTTGATTTTCTTCGAGTAATTCATTTTTCGACGGAGACGAATTTTTGTATTTTCGCTTTTGAACTGAGAACGCTTGACCTTTCTAATGGTAGCCAATTTTTGTAAATAGGGCAAGAAATATTGAACTAATAACGGAATTTCCTTGACCCAACTTTGCTTTTTTATCGATATTTGCCACGCCCATAATTCAAAAAAAAAAGAAAAATTATTTTTAAGTCCACTTCTGTCAGTTTATAATTCCTTGTTATAAGGAAATTCTAAATATCTATTTTGGTCATTTTAGCTTTTGTAGTTAGTTCAATATTTCAGCTTTTGCCTTTTTAAAAATTATATAAATGACAAATTTTTATGTAAAAAGCTTCGTCTATCTTATAACGTATGTAGCTTGTGCAAAAAAGCAGCTAGATGGGTTTTGACTTACACTGTGCGCCGGGAAACTCTTGGAAATTTTTCGTATGCCCGAATCCACTGAAATAGTAGCTAGAAGATATAATTTTTCTGAAGGAACAGTTGCCTTCGATAGCGCAACATGGAGTTTATCGATCCATTTGGATTTTAATTTGTTTCAGAAAAATGTTCATGTCATGATTCTTCAGG